TATAATGACTGGTCACTGAGTCATCATTTTTTGAGAAAAAGGGCCCTTTCCTTTTCTCTGAAATCATCGATCTGGATTGATTATAGCAGAGCAAATGATCGATAGTACTACGTAGGGAAGATATTTCGTTGGGATTACTGGTCGGGAGAAGCTCGCGAGTGTGGTGTATATACGGTGTTTTTGTGTAATTTTTGCGTTTGTGATTGCGTTTTTTTTTCCCGGGGGAAAACACTCCACGAGAAACACTGGCTTTGTTATTGCCTGCTGTTGACTTAAGTTTACTCCGTTCTCCCTTGTAATTATGCCCTGTTACAGCTTCAAAGTTGTATTTAAACATCTGAATTTGCGAGACAAGTTTAACATTCTTGAAAAGCCAAAGACTTGTATTTATTTGAAAATCAGATGAAACAAAACTGTAACGGACCCGTGCCGTGTATCTATGAATTACCATGCGCTTACATTCATAATTTCAGCCGGAGGGAGGGGAAGCGGCGATCTGGAACAGCAGAGTGGCAAGTGAGAGCTGTCATCTTCCCTTTACAAGCTTCAAAAATGTATTTATCGTGTGATTTTGGAAATAAGTTTCATATTCTGTAAGCCAAGACTTTGTTTGTTTAAAATCAAACAAAACACCTGAACCCCGAAAAAAATAGTTTTTTTTAATGCAAATCCACGTTTATTTTGAAATGAGCCATTGCGACTTCCGACTGATTTCGATAGAGCGGGTCACATATTGTTCTTACAAAACAATAGGTTAAAGTGATTACAATGGGTCTAGTTACCGTTTAAAGTTTTAAGTCATATCGTGATGATTTTTAGGATAATATTGTGAATTGCAAACATTTTAGCCAGTGACCAAGTGAATATTGAACTGTCTGATTTTATCATTGTGTATCTGTGTCAGGTTAAGAAGCTGCAGTCAGACATCAGCCCGCTGCACCAGTCTCTGTCTCTGCTGTCGGAGAAGAACGGCTCCATGCAGGCCGACAAGAGGATCCTGGAGGAGGACCTCAAACGCTGGAAGGCCAAAACCCAGGTAACAGATGGGTGTGTGTGAGCGTCAACAAGGAGCAGCAACACTGTGTTTACCTGCATCTTTTAATACAATATTTGTCACACATGACACACCCACATCTGTTATTTACTTGCCATGTATATTAATTATTTTGTAACCGGATACATTCTAGTGTTTTGTTCAAAGAGAAAGAACGAAAAACACAAACAAATATAAATAAGAATAAAAAGCAATAACAATGACTAAAGTAATCCCCCTAGAGTCGTTGATTTATTTTGAATGGAGCTATATTTTTAAAGATGTATCTTGAACACTCTGTAGTTGCTGTTTAAGTCTCCACTAAACCTGACTGACCATTCCTCTACAGCAACTATTGAGCCAGCAGAAAGATGGGGACGTGGAGGAGAGACAGAAACTGTCCACTGAGAGAGAAGCTCAGCAGAGACGCATCACACAGCTCGCTGAGGAGACGGCCAAGCTGAAGACTGAACTCGCAAGGTAACACACACAAACACACACACACAAACACACACACACACCCTGAAGCACCCTGGCTTGAGACCCTTTCACACTAGCAAACACTTTCATCTGCTTTTTGACTCTAGTGAGAAAAGTTACAATCAGTATTTAACCCATGGACAAATGAATGCAGGAGTTCCCTCATTTATCAGCTTCATCTCTGATCAGCACTGAGGACATACTATTCTGCCTCTTCTCAGGGTCAATAGTAAGTGAATACATAATAAGTGAAATCAACAAGGATTTGGACTTTTACTACAATCAGTAATGTACAAAACATGAAATGAATATACTCTTCACAACGGGACCAGACTCCAGTCAGACCACAGTCATTTGACCCTGCTGGTCGTAAAACAGAACTCACTCAATCGACGGCCTGTGTCCACATAGCACCTTGTTTTTCTGAGGGCCAGTGGGTTTTTGTGCACATGTCCCGCTTTAAGACAAGTGACAGATATGAAAAAAAGTAACTATTGTTGTTTGAAAACCCTGCTTTCGGACACGTCCATAATATACCAGCACGAAAGAAAATTCTATTTGGACTCTATTACGTATTTTATGTGAATTTACAAAAAAACCTGTGTTCACACGCTCATTTTTGAGCATTTGTTAAAAACAACTGAATGCAGAACGATTCATAGAATAATATTTGTATTTAGTAACATTTGACAGCTAAAATGACCAGTGTAGAACTTCCAGCAGATAATCAATGAATCCCTAAACAGTGTTTCCCCTAGGTTTACTACCTTGGTTGGGTGCTGCTCGGGTGCCCCGAAAAAAAATTGTTATCCTCTGGAGCAGAGAGAGGAGCTGTGGATTATTGTTATTGATATCGTACAGTAACAAAGTATTTGTACATTAAAAAGTAATACAGTACAGTGTTACACTTTACTGTATTACTTTTATTCAAACTGTATTCCCTTCTTATCATGTAGCCTACACTTCTTCCTTTCATTGATACATTTAAATCACCTGACTACAGCATATAACATACCACCTGCTGCAACCCTGTGCTGCTGTTGCTGCTTCTCTCTGCCTCATCCTCTATTGCTGGAGGCAGCTCCACCTCATCTGATCTCTGATATGAAAGCAATCGTGTTATGATCATATTGAGCTATTGGTGTGAGTCTAACATTAAACAAGTAGTCTGCTGGTCATACATTGCTGACGATACATTTTAAGTGGCAATTTGTTGAGTCACTGCCGCTAAATGCCGGTAGCATCAAGCTAGCAAATCCTGCATTAGCCTCACATCAACAGGTGTAGACAGAACATCCAATTATCCTGAGCTAATTTACTGATTCAATGAGGCAAGAGGCACATTAATACGGCAAGTCAGTCAACATAAATGTTACGACAAACGCCCGTCACATTAAACTTCGGTTGGACAACAATAAAACGTTTAGCACTTTTTGACATTGCCTGGGACGGCACAAGATACTTAATGGTATACCGAATGTAATTATAAAGTGGGCCCTCCGCCCACACCTGCGCTACGCCACTCGACAAGAAGAGGGGAAATTCGAAGTTGACATAAAGCACACAAAAACCTGTATCAAGTAAAGATTCGCTGAAACAAACAAATTAGTGGCGTGGCATTGGCGTACAAAAAACGTGCAAATAAAAACTTGACTCGTACGATGAAGCGACCTAAAGCTATCCGCCAGTGTATAAAAAGAATTGTGTGATCCAAGTTCACTAAACCCAGGAAAAAAAAAAAAAAACAATGGCAATTCAAAATTCGATAGCACTACTAAAACCTATATAACTTTAACCGGTAAAATCGGTACTGCACTAAACTACAACTAAAATAAGTAACACATAGACACGTCCAAATCTCACGTCAGTCTTAGGCGGCGAATGGTCAACGAAACGACAGCCTGTCTCTCCGAGGACGTCCCTGTTCTCCAAGGACCTCCACTGGATCGACTCCGTTTTGGGCCATGTCGAACCACACACACACCCAGCCACGTTGACACAAATGACGAGAAATATGAAAACGGGGTACCGTTGGAGTGCAGAAAATGAACGACATATAATAATAAAACAGGGCCAGTAGATCACAAACACGTTTTTCCGTTTGCTTTGTTATATATTCGTATTCCATTGTAACAGTAAAGGGGACCGAGCAACAAATAAAACTACACCGTATTAAAAATTCTACAAGCAACTGGAGACATCAACGACAAATCAGAGGGATTGGACTCTGGTAAGGAGATGTCGAAACTCGGCGTCTTCTACCCCGCACCTTCCTCTCGTTTGACAGGTACTCTTCCTTTCCAAGCCGCCTGCAGTTGCGTCAGCGACTTCCCTGCGGTTCGACTCTGACTACGCTTCCATAGGTGTGGTGTGTGGTGTTGTGTCGTGGGCTTCGGGACCGACTCGGAAGTGTGATCGTTGGAAAGTAGACGAAAAACTAGACACTGCTTAGTAGCATAAGGTACCTGTTTCTTACGACCCAAGGGAAAAACGAAGTAGAACTAGCGGACCCTGCTTATAAAGAGCGAGAAGAGCCCAGGATATCACTAGAGTGACCACTAGTGGCCTAAAACCAAAATGAGTCATACAGTGTACACTAAAAGTTTGCCCTGGTCTGAGGTCAGTCTGGTGTCAGTAAACTGGGACGACCAGCATTTTGTCTTGAGTGAGTTAGCTGCCGGACACAGGTGTATCGTGGAACAAAAAGACTCCCGGTCACCCAAAAACACGTGTACAGGGCGAAATTCTGTTCACTGTCTATACTTTTTTTCATTGATAACAACAAACTTTTGGGACGAAAGCCTGTGCAGGTATTATATGGTCGTGCTTTCTTTTAAGATAAACCTGAGATAATGCATAAAATACACTTAAATGTTTTTTTGGACACAAGTGTGCGAGTAAAAACTCGTAAACAATTTTTGTTGACTTACGTCTTGCTAAGTATCTTATTATAAACATAAATCATTGTAAACTGTCGATTTTACTGGTCACATCTTGAAGGTCGTCTATTAGTTACTTAGGGATTTGTCACAAAGGGGATCCAAATGATGGAACCAACCCACGACGAGCCCACGGGGCTTTTTTTTAACAATAGGAGACCTCGTCTCTCTCCTCGACACCTAATAACAATAACTATAGCATGTCATTGTTTCATAAACATGTAATTTTTCATTATGTCATGTCACAATGTGAAATGACATAATGAAAATAAGTTTGACATAAGGGAAGAATAGTACATCGGATGTGAAGAAGGAAAGTAACTATGTAAATTTAGTGGACTGATGTCGTATATTGTATGGTGGACGACGTTGGGACACGACGACAACGACGAAGAGAGACGGAGTAGGAGATAACGACCTCCGTCGAGGTGGAGTAGACTAGAGACTATACTTTCGTTAGCACAATACTAGTATAACTCGATAACCACACTCAGATTGTAATTTGTTCATCAGACGACCAGTATGTAACGACTGCTATGTAAAATTCACCGTTAAACAACTCAGTGACGGCGATTTACGGCCATCGTAGTTCGATCGTTTAGGACGTAATCGGAGTGTAGTTGTCCACATCTGTCTTGTAGGTTAATAGGACTCGATTAAATGACTTGATTGAGAGGACAAAAAAAAAGTGGTTGCCCGTAAGCGGAAAAACGACCGCATAATAACACCAAAAGACAGTAAGTTATGACATCAAGCACTGGGGTTGACCGCCGGGCGCCCGTGAGGCCCGGCTGTAAGAAGTAGCCGGCGGCGCCCCCACTGACACGCAACGCCACAATGACCAACGGGTGGAAAAGAAAGCTTCAGCAGCACCACCAACGCAGGCCGTCAGGTTGCCCTCCGCTCACGCCCAGTGCATTGACGCATACGCTTTGACAGGGACGGAACTCTTCTTTTCAACTAGGAAGCAAACATTCTCGACCATACGCGAGCCCGTTGTGCGCCGGGGCGACGCTGTCTCAGGTTGACTCTCGGTCCTAACGCCCGCATCGACTTCGGCCAACCAAATGCCTATAACATAGCCGCAATGCAAGCTTATGTTTTAGTGCATCATTGACATTAAGTCGACCGCAATTGACACAACTTGCCATAAACTATTGCAATGATAAGCATTTTGGACTTTCACTAGAAAACCGTTAATTAAACCTCCTTTTCAAAGGGTGGTTACATAAAGTATGCCGCTACACAACTGTGACGGCGCGCTCGTACAGCACGCTCTCTCTACACAAACACTCGGGCGGGCGGCGTTACCTTCTCTCGAGAGAAAATGTGAGTATTTACGTTCTCAATTTGCCCTCCAATCTATTACCGGTTTCTATTGCAAAATACATCGTAAAAAAACAGCTAAACGAAGATGCCTGTTAGCGTACTACCGGAACACGACGACTAACGTACCCCGTCCGAACCTTGCAAAATTTCAAAATAGCAAAGTCGATTTTATGACTATCAAGAAGAAAATCCCGCGGAACAGCGAGGGGTACTGGGAAATGGGATAAGGTCTCCTCTTCCAAAACTATGCTTGCTACGTCAGCCCACACAAAAAGACACCCACGCATGACTCTCCCGACAGGCTTTACTGTGTTTTACAACACAAACTCAAGAAATGAATGATACTAACAAGGAAAGGTTTAGGTAACAAACCTTATCGAAGTAAAAGATTGTCATAGACTTAGACCACTAAACATTGAAAAGGTTTTAACGCACCGGCCGCTGCCAGGCCGACGTCAGCAAACATGACAGAATATTGCGAAAGAACCTTTACACATACTAACATTCCACAGGAACCCACAACCTCTTCCACAGTGGGAATAACTCGGACCGAATACTTAAATGTAATAAATGAATAGACTTTGCTACCGACATTATTGAAATGTTGACAAAGGTCAGTGAACGGGGTGTGAACGGTGAAAGTCGTACGTCGTCCGAGTAGTGAAACTAAACTAGGGACAATATTTACATATTAAAGCGTTATTTATTCGCGAGTATTTTGCATAAGAACGT